AAAAAAAAAAAAAAAAGCTGTCTTTTTTTTTTTAACAGTTGCATAGCATTCCATTATATGGGATACCATCATTTAAGTACCCATTCCCCTTTTAAAAGACTTTAAGGTGTTTTCAGACTTGTACTGTTATAAATGAGGCTGCAAAAAATATCCTCATTTTATATACCTATGATTTACCACATGTACAAATATATCTACAAGATAAATTCCTGCAAGTGGAATTGTTGCATCAAAGGGGTCATGCTTTTGAAGCATTGGTAGCTGTGCCTAAGGACTAAGTTGCTGTTCAGACAGTCTGTACTGATTTTCACCCTCACGGCAGTGTATGAGGGTGTATGTGTCCCCACCTCTCCCCAGCAGAGTTTACCAACTCTTTTCATGCTTGAATTTTAAAAATAATGGTTATATGGGCGCACTCGGTAGAGTGTGGTGCTTGGGAGTGCGGAGGCGCTCCCGCTGAGGGTTCGGATCCCATATAGAGACCGGTCCGCTCACTGGTTGAGTGCTGTGCAGGCGCAACACCGAGGGTTGCGATCCTGTTGCCGGTCGCGGTGTGGGCGCGACACTGAGGGTTGCGATCCCGTTACCAGTCACGAAAAAAGACAAAAAGGAAAAAAAAAATAATGGTTATGAACACCATATAAAAGGGTCACCTCTGTGAGGGTTGACAGTAGTTGGTCACTGCATTTATCTGCTCGTAAACTAAGAAACAAATGACCAAACATTCATTCCTTTTTATTCATCATCATTTACTCAGTTCAGCCTACAGACTTAATCTGTGCCTCGTTCTGGGTGCTAGGGGCAGGAGGGTCTGGGACTTGGTTCCTGCCCTCAAGCAGCTCATCAGCTAGAGGGAGATACAGAGAAGAAGTAGCTGTGATATGGTGTGCCTTGTATTATGCACAGGTAGGAGAAAATTGGATGATGAAACAAGGGAAAGTGTTGCTAGATGCCTTAGAAAATGTTGCCCAGGACTCTTGATCATGTTAAACTTAAAGGTGAATGCCATCCCAGAAGCAACCCAGGTGGTAAGTAGTTAGTTGCTCCTGCTGATGAGCCAGCTCAGAGTGGATTCTGTAAGAAGAGCCTCATCTGGAGCCTGCATCTGCACCTCCCCGCAGAACTGCTGGGCTGCATGCAGGAAATCAGCCACCTGCGATTGGAGGGCTGGTGCTGGTTGGGATAATGAACTTGGTAGTGTCGGCAGAGGTGATTGGCCGGGCCCTGCTGCAGTGAGAATGCAGACTGGATGCTCGGGTCCTGGGCTTGGGTGAAGAGCGAGGACTGCTGAATAACTGAGAGCTCCAAGTTGCTTCTGCCTCCGGGAGAGGTCTGTTTGGCGGTTGCTTTTTCCTTTTCTTAAAAAAAGCCAAACATCTGATCACTATCCACCTGCAGAAGTGAATTTTTATTGAGGATGCTCCAGCTCCTTTCTCTCTATTGCCAGCATCCGGAGAGGCTCCCTTAGAGTGAGCTGCTTCTCAGGCCAGGCACGACAGCAGTGCTAGCAAATTTGAAAAAGCAGGAAACAGCCCCTGCATGCAAAGCTTCCAGCCTGAGAACTCCCCAGGCTAGTCTTCCAAGCAGCCGTGTAGCCAGAGACCCTTGATATTGTGGTCACGTCCCTCAAAAGTGAACAGTCAACCATCGGCACTGTTTGGATGAAGATGTTGCAGATGCTGTGGCATTTTCTGTCTAGCTTTTTCCCCAGGGCTGGGTGCCAAGGCTCCAGAGAGGGGAACGATCATGAAGTCAGAGGCACCCAGGCTTCTGCTCGGGGAGACCAGATGCCAAGCTTTTTGGGGAAACAGGACGGAAGGGCTGAGGCCACGGAAAAGAGACCCACCATATTGCTGGTGGTTGGACCAGCAGAGCAGTTTCCTAAGGTAATGCAACCTCAGGAGGACCTCCCAGTTTAGGGGCTGGTCTGATGTCATTTTCCTGAAAAAACTTGGGGTGTGGGAAGAAAGGGAGGACTTATTTTAAAAATCAGTTTGGTATTGGGGGTCAGGAAGAAGTGTTAGGCAATGAAGAGGCTCGTAGATTCAATTCAGAATCTTTCTGTGGCCACTGTAAAAGCTTTATGCCTCATCATGATCACCTTGGTATGGCCATTGAGAGGAGAAATGTTGGATTCAGTAGATTTGCCTTAGGATTTGTCAGTTTGGCTGCAGAAAGCCATTTCAAAGTAAGGGACAAACTATTAGACTGTGTCTTAGCTGATCTGAACAATGCAGGGAGGACGAAGCCGAAAGGGCAAGTGAGCATGCCTTGAAAGATGAACCTAATTGCCTGGAGCTGGGGGAGCAAGTCTTTAGAGGTCGTCGTGAAGGTCACACTCCCCTTGCCTTGGTCAGACCTGCCTTACCTTTGGGTCTGGGAGGTAGAGAGCGGAGGGCTGGGGGTGGGTCCAAGGAGCGGCTGGAGTCATGAGGTGCAGAGGCAGGTGTCCCTCTGGGAATGACCATGGCCACTGCAGGTCTGCCGAGTGCCAGGGCCTTCCATCCCTCCCGATCCCCAATGAGGAGTTATTGCACCAGGTCCTCACCAGAGCCAAGGTAAGTGGCAGTACCCCCATTTCACAGATAAGGAAACTGAAGTGCAGAAAGGTTAAATAATTTGCCTTGATTGCTTAGGGTTAAACAATTAAGGAGAGGTAGAACTGAGATTTATCCCCAAATCTGTCTGGAATTTTGCCCTGCACTGCCTTGCTTTCCCTTAAGAACACAGTTTTTAATGGGATTGAGTGAGTGGTCTGGAGTAGAAAGGAAATTGTGTGTGGCTGAGATTTCTCCTGCCTGCGGTAGGAGTGACCTTGTTCCCTCCTGAGCTTTTCTCTTTTCTCCTTCCTCAGGAGAAAATCGATCAGAGTAGGGAAGGGGATTCTGTCCTATGTTTGGCACATTGTAGATACCCAAAAATGTTTGTTGAATTGAATTACTACATTTAAGAAATAAAAGTTCATTTTGCCTTTGCTAATAGAGAGGGACTTTGGATGCAACAACTTTTGCAGTCGTGTGGGCATTGAGGAGAGTCCTTAGTCTGTGAAGGGCTCTTTCCACTCATCAGGGTCTCACAATCTGTGTTATGCCTGAGATGTGCGTGCTTAATGTGCTTCAAAAGGGTGTCACTTTCTACCTTTTGATGGTTTTAGGCAAGATCAGAAATGGTGGTGGTGCTAGCTTTTGTGAGGAACTTTTATCTACAGACCTGTTTGCCTTGTGGCCTGGATTAGCTGGTTGCCTTTTAAAATCATCTAATTTTGACTGTAATAATTAACTGCTCCATTTCCCTGCCTCACACCGGCACCCTTTGCCAGCTGTCCCCCCAGGGTTTGCCTAGAGGTAGGACTTTCTGTTTGGAACAGCTCAGTTCTTGGCCTGCAGAATCCAGAGACCCACATCTTTTACTAGCTCTGTTTCCCAAAAGTGAGGTGGATCAGCTGGCTGTGTGTAAGGGGAGCCCCAGGAGGGAGACGGAGCAGTTGGGTTGGTTTGAAGCAAGCAAGAAAGTATATCTGGGCAGCGCAGATTTTCTTAAAGCAGATAAGCAAAGAATTGAAATAGTAGGAGCATTTACGCAGCATGTGTCCTTTACCGGCGCATGTGCTCTGAAGGTGTTTGGGGTTTGTGATCACCAGCTGATCGGGCCTGGCCTGGCCATTTCTCTCAGGAAGAGGCCTCTAGAATATTTTGGAAACCATACAGAGAAGTTCATGTTGGTCCTCCGGCTTCCCAGTGTCCCAGAAGCACTACTTTGTTTTACTCTCACTTCCCCTGTTTAAATATGTCTACTAGTGAGTCGGGTTGCTGCAAGCTTTTATTCTAGGAACTGTCCCAGTTTTCCCCTCTATCTTTGTCTTTCAGTTAATCTGCAGTTGGAGAAGAAAGCCATTACTCTGGAATGGGAGGTGCCCTCAGCGGCATTCAAGCTTTCAAATCCTGAGGGGCTGTCTTCTCAGAAGCTCAGAGAATTTTGCTCATTGTGTGTGTAATTGCCAAGTATAGGCAGGTTTCATTGGAAACTGGCTATACTAAGCTGTCATGACAACATGATCATCAAATGACACTGCAGCCACAGAAGCCAATGAGGTTTGAGAGCCTTAAGGGTGGGTGGGGCTTGTAGAGCCGGATGCTGGGAGGCTCCCAAACATATTCATATTTCTGGCTTGGTCTGAGTCATTGCTGAGGATGGGGGAGATACTTTCTGGTGTAATGCTCCACTCCCAAAGCCACTGTACCTATCCTGTTCTTACTCGTGGTATTCTGGCTCTTACAGGAAGCACCTGGTTTTTTTGGCGTGACAGAGTGGTAGGATGAGGAAAGCTTATGGTGGCACTGGCAGATTTGCAGGTGAGAAGTGCTTGTGAGAGCTACTTTACAGATTAAATGAAATCTGATGCCACTAAATTCTAAGGGACCGAGCGTTGCTGTCATTATTTCTGAATACTAGTTATAGGAATGGACATTGGAGAAGAGGAAACAGAAGTAGAACTATGTCACAAAATTAGAATAAATACAAAGAGCAGAGAAGAATCGTGTACAAGGCAGCACATTATGCCCAGATCTTAGCCGTGAGCTGGTGTGATTGTCAGGAATGAAACAGGAGGCCTGCCGTATTTCTTCCTTACTGTATTTCAGAAGCTGTGATAAAGAGGCAGGTTTTTGTTGTTTTTAGCTAAGACTAAACTTGCTCAAGTTACACTTTTCCAGCATGCCTGCCACCTTGCAATCTGAGGCATTGCTTACTGTAATTCTCAGTGTCAGGATTAGATATTCTTTGGGAACTGAATTCTAGAATCTCCTTTTGGCAGCGTTGGTTTTGAGTGCTGTTTTAAATGGATATTGTAACAAGAGCCCAACCCCAGGTGCAAGGCTCAGCCCTCCACCTATAAGCTTTGGGACTTGGGCAAACCGGGTCATTTCTCTAGGCCTGTTTGCTCAACTCAGATTAAGGGGATATCCCCAGGCCCCTCTCGGCCCCACAGCCTACAATTCCAGGGACAGAGTAATTGCCTTAGACACTAGGCACCTAGAGATTGGTTCATTTGCAAAGAATTCCCAGTTTCTGTGTGCAAATGGACTTCTGAATTACCCATGAAACCCAATAGATTAGATAGTTTATTTATTTATTTGACAGCTGGCCAGAACAGGGATCCAAACCCTTGACCTTGGTGTTATAACACCATGCTGTGACTGAGTTACCTGGTCAGCCACTACCCACCACCCTTGCTAAATTTGACTGGGTTTTAAAAAGAAAAAAAATCACAGTAGCAAAATAAAAATAAGTTAGAAACCTTTTTTTTTAAAAGTAATATTGAATATTGAAATAGAGTTGATGTTAGCATTGTAAAATAATGTCTTGACAACCACATGCAGAACATTTCCTGACCCCACAATACTGCTGGTCTGTGTGGACTTAAGAACTTTGTTATAATCAAGGAGATTATAACCTTTTTTTTAGAAAACAATTGCACTTATGTGATAATATTTTAATAATGTCTCCTTGTAATATAGAATATAGTTTTCATTTTTACTTGATATTGTTTTCAAATCTCTTCCCAGATTTGTTTTATAAACATATCATAAAACTCAATGGTACAGTTATGTTAACCAAAATTCTTTGAAAAATATTTTATTAAGAAGTGAACATCTCGGGCCGGCCCATGGCTCACTTGGGAGAGTGCGGTGCTGATAACACCAAGGCCATGGGTTCGGATCCCATATAGGGAGGTCGGTTGCTCACTGGGTGAGCGTGATGCTGACAACACCAAGTCAAGGGTTAAGATCCCCTTACCAGTTATTTTTTTTTAAAAAAAAAAAAGAAAGAAAGAAATATCTCCAATTGAATGACTTATTTACTCAGTCAAAATATTTGATATTTTTAGGGGCCAGCCCATGGCTCACTTGGGAGAGCGTGGTGCTGACAACACCAAGTCAAGGGTTAAGACCCCCTTACCGCTCATCTTTAAAAATATATTTATATATATATTTGATATTTTTTATTGGAATGACTTCAGCCATAACTAAAATGAGATACTTCAGCAGATCTCTGTCACGTAATTTAGTTTCAGAAGCAAACATGAATAATTTAACAAAGGAAGACCAGCATTTTAAGATTTAGCTTTTTTTTTTTTTCTTTCCTTTTTTGTCTTTTTTTCGTGACCGGTATCAGGATCGCAACCCTCGGTGTCGCGCCCGCACTGCGCTCAGCCAGTGAGTGGACCGGTCTCTATATGGGATCCGAACCCTCAGCGGGAGCGCCGCCATACTCCCAAGCGCCGCACTCTACCGAGTGCGCCACCGGGCCGGCCCAAGATTTAGCTTTTATGTATAAATGTGTCTTGGGGTTGTCTGTGTCTTGGGGTCTTAGAGGGTGGCTGAACTGATTCACTCATTTAGAAGCCGCTCAGGAAGCACCTTTTATGATCAAGGCAAGACGTTAGTTTCAGGCAAAGAAGTACAAAGGTTTGAAGCAATAGTCTTCTGCCTTCAAAGACCCTAATACTAGAGATAAGATGTGTGTTAAAATAGCTCCAAAGGGCAGGCCCATGGCTCACTTGGGAGAGTGGTGCTGATGGCACCAGGGCCACGGGTTCGGATCCCTTTATAGGGATGGCTGGTTGGCTTGCTTGGGGGAGCGTGGTGCTGACAACACCAAGTCAGGGGTCGTGATCCCCTTACCGGTCATCTTTTTAAAAAACAACAACAACCACAAAATAGCTCCAAAGCAGAACATTCTGAATTGGGCAGCTTAAGAGGCAGCTGAGTATCATGAGGAGGCTGAACAGGAATCTGCCTGGATAATCCGGAGCTGCCTCCTCGGATCTGCCTGCAGTGGCAGTCCAAGACCTGTTTTTACAGACTCACCATCAGATCCCTTTAGAAGGGCCAACATGTCATATCACTTGTAATCTGTGTTTCATGCTGTTGTACATAAGTATCAATATCTCATCCTAAAATCCTCTTTACAAGTTCTTAACAAAAAGCTTTTTAGTGAATTAAGATGTCCTTTTAATTTTGTTGACCCCAAATGACAGCCATCCATTTTTATCCATGCCAGCAGTGAGAAGATGTAGTCTATATGAGGAAGTGGTTCACTATAGAAGGAACAAGTGGGAGATGGATCTGGTTCTCATCTTGGTGACATGGTCTCTTCCTCCATAGCACGAATCTGTGGGGAGGAAAGAGGTGGAGAGAACGCAGGCTGGTCTGGAGAGGGTCATCCTCAAGTAATGATCACATCTTCCCAGGACCTGAGATTTCCTCTCGTTCGTGCTCACCCAAAAGGGTTGTTTAGCCTGTGATCATGGCATGCCCAGTGACTGCATATGGCTATCAAGTACTTGCAGTGTGGCTATATGACTGAGGAACTGAGTTTTTAGTTTCATTTAATTTAAAATAGTTTAAGATTTAAAAAAAAAAAGCTTCTGTATTGAATAGCAAAGTTCTGGGCTAGAGAGCTACAACTACCCTGAGCTTTTAAGTGTCTGAGCAGAAGTGGGCTTTGAAGACTGGGTCCCCTATGAGGCCCGGCCGACCCAATGGATGCATCTCAGGAGTCCTTGGCATAGAGACCTTTAGACTCGATAGTGTCCTCTCCCACCTCTATCATGGCAGCTCCTTGGTGCTTCTGAGATACCCAGATGAAGCCTACAGGGAAATAGGTTGGTCCCTAGGTGTTCACATTGCAGAGTGGCCTGGGAGAAGTTTCAATGCGCTAGATACACGTGGTCTGTGGAGGGTTCAGGGTCCTCTGGAGCAGGAGCCAGCCAGACCAATCCTGGGAGGCCAGTCGTGGCCAAACCAGCCACATCCAGGCTCAGCCAGCTGGGGCAGCTCCCCAGCAGGACGAACAGGCCCACGGTGAGGTCCACTTTCCTGAGTGGCTGGGGACCCAGCTCTCAGAGTCCCACTGTCACCATTAAACTGGGCCCCTTTCCAGCAGGCATTGATCCAGTCTCTGTACATCCACTGCTTTTCCTGTTGGGAATGATTTACTAAGGGGAGAAAACCTTTGTAATGTGTGACGCTGTATTGTATTTGGGGACCTTGTATGAAAACAGGCTGTAGGCTGTTTGTTTATTTGGAGGGGCTGGCAGCCAGTGGGTGAAGGTTTGTTTGGGCATGGTACCAATACGGGGCAGAGCAGAACCGACGCAGGACAGAACTCCTTCCCCGAAGAGTTAACTGCAGGGAGCAGATGACGTCAGTCCTGATCTTTGCACCTCTCCCCTTGAGCAATCTGGTGCCGCCTTCTAGTCCAGGGTCTATGTTCGTTGGCTGCTGGCAGGACTTAACAGTGGGCGTGTTTCTTTTTCAATTAAGTAAAAAGGCACGGCTTAAGCAGCCAATGACAGCTGAGGCCCAGCATATCTTGCGCACGGTTCCAGGCCAGGCAGTATTTCCATTCTTGACGCTGCCAGAACCTGCTCCAGCGGCAGCTGAGCAGTGCCCGTCAGCATGCTCTGCCTGTGCCTGTATATGCCACTCATCGGAGAGGCCCAGACCGAGTTCCAGTACTTTGAGTCCAAGGGGCTTCCTGCCGAGCTGAAGTCCATCTTCAAGCTCAGTGTCTTTATCCCCTCCCAGGAGTTCTCCACCTACCGCCAGTGGAAGCAGGTCTGTATGGGTGACCATGGGAAGGGAGGGACAGCAGGCATTGAGTGGTGTCAAAGGGTCCCCTTCCAGGAGAAAAGAATGTCTGAAATGTGGGAGGTTTTTTCCCAGCTGTCTTATGGCTGTACCCGGCAAAAGGTCTACGTCATGGGAATGACTGGTTTTCATGTGATCTCCAAGGAAGGCTGGAATTCTAGAAAAGGCACTTGTGGGAGAAAGATCTTGGAAAGGAATCTCCTTTTGCTAAGTGGGGGATTTCCTGAGAAATACAGGGCCAGGAGGCCTGGGGGCAGTCCGGATCCATGGGACTGTTTCTTTGAGCTGGGAGGACAGAGGCCAGGAGCACGTGGGAGGGAAAGACCAAGAGGCTTCTCTTTGGGGGCCCAGGAGCTAGGATCATTGCTGCAGAGTAGAGCTGAACATGCCCCGTGAGGCTGGAGCTGGCAGCAGTGTGTCCTGGGTGGGAAAGGAGGGGACCTTCCCACCTTCTAGACCCTCAGTCATCCCTGTGGAGTGGGAAGGTAGCAGAGATTCTATGCTGTCCCCAGTGCTCATGATGGCAGTGGAGGTCTGACCGGGTGCACTGAAGGGTGATTTGCATATCCTAGGAAGGAGACAGAAAGTAGGCCTAGTGAAGCAAGCACTTTGAGAATATTTTGAAATAGGCTGCAATGAGTACATCCTTGGCTTGTCTGTATCACAGCACCCGCCCCAAAAAGGTGCGTGGATCGCCTCGGTGACAGGAAATGGGTACCAAAGAGCTCTGTGCATAATGTCCGCCTCCTCCCTAAGTGGCATATAGACTCTATTTCCACTCCTGTCAGAAATCTGGAGTGATCACCTTATACGTAATTTGTATCACTATTGGCTGATGCAAATGTCTGCAGGAATTTAACATAACCTCAGATAGCAGAAAAAATATGTGCCAGCATCTGTCCCACATTCCAGCCACACCCCACGTGTTATTCTTCTGATCACAGGGTATCTGTCCAGGCCACCCTCCTCCCAGTGCCTTTAGTAGCTGAGGAGTCACAAAGAGCTCTCAAGTGGTTCAGGGTATAGTCTGAGAGACCACGACTGGAATCCTTTGAGAGCATGATATGCCGATGGTCCATCAATTTCCCACCCCCAAATGGCTTGAGAGACTCTGAAGCCCAGGTTGCTTTGTAGAAAGGGAATGGATTTCCTGCTGAGAGAATCGGGGAACACACGGGGCCTGTAACCATTTTCCTCAGTAGTTCTAGTTTTGGGTTCTAGATTCAGAGTGATGCTGAGTTGGAGTGACTCACAGTTGTCCCCACATTCTTGAGATTAACCTTTAGGGAGGCAGCAGGATCTGTAGGGAGGTGGCTCAGGAGTCCAACAGGCCTGGCTTGAATCCCACCCACCACTTCCCTAGCTGTGTGACCTTGCATGAATACTTAGCTTCTCTGAACTCCTGTTTTCTTCTCTGCAAAATGGGGGAAGTGATAGTACCTACCTCTTGGAGCTGTCTGAGAGGATTCAGTGGGTTGCTAGAGGTAAAGCATTTAGCGTGACCTGTGGCACATGCTAAGTGCTCAGGAAGTGTTGGCTCTTTTGTGGAGAAATTCCAGTTGCTGAGCATCCAAAACCAATTACAGTGCTAAGCAAAGATCACCTCCTAAGGGGAGGTGCAGAGTTTTGGAACCTCACGGCCAAGGAACAGGGTCTCGTAAGGCCTTCTTGGGTCACTAACCTATTACTCAGAGCTGCCCTCATTTCCCATGCCTGGTTCAGAGAGCTCGAGTTGGTTATATCATCTGGCTTCCCTGAGATCAGGAACTGGCAGTGCCTTCAAGCACATGCACAAGAATAGTCGCCCTTGGCTCCTACCCCTCCTCCAGCCTTCAGAGTGCTCTGCCTCTACCTTCATCCTGGCCACCGAATCATTCATGGGCCAGTGCTACTTTTAGGGATAAAAAGAGCAAGCTGCAGAGTTTCTGATGGAATCTGGCTTCCAAGGCCATCCCCACATCTCGGCAGGGAGCACATGGGGCTGAGGTCTGTCCAGGTACAGCGCAGCAGTGGAGCAAGCAGCTGACCCTGGCTGTGCACCAAGCCAGTCTCCAGCACACGTGGAATGTGCAAGCGCTGAGCCACCCTGTTGCCTTATCTGAAGGGCTCCTCCCAGGGGCTCCTTTCTCCTCTTTGCTTGTGAGGGAAGCAAGTTACTTTGGTGCCAGGCAGTACTCAGGGATCCAAGCAGTGGCTCTGGCGTGGGGCTAAATTGACGTGGAGGCTTTGGGAGTAGGACAGAAGTGTCTTAGCTCATCAGGCCCCCCTGCATTCATGGATTAGCACAGCTGTTTCCTGGGGAAGGGGCCCCACAAGGCACACGGAATGGCTGGTGCGTGAGCTAAAACACAAAACCTCACTTTTGTTTTCTAGAAAATCGTACAAGCTGGAGACAAGGACCTCGATGGGCAGCTCGACTTTGAAGAGTTCGTCCATTATCTCCAAGATCACGAGAAGAAGCTGAGGCTGGTGTTTAAGAGTCTAGACAAAAAGAACGATGGTGAGTGTTGCCCGGAGCTTCCCCAACCCTCCAACCCCCAGGTGCCCGCTCCTACTCATGGCCTGTGTTGTGGCAGGACGGATCGATGCTCAGGAGATCGTGCAGTCCCTGCGGGATCTGGGAGTCAAGATATCTGAACATCAGGCAGAAAAGATCCTCAAGAGGTGAGCACTTAGCCAGCCTCTGTGTTTGGTTTAACGAAAGTGTGACAGAAGAAATCCTGTCGGACTGACTGTGGTGCCCATCACCCTACTGACCCCGTTCCTCTGAACTTGGCCCTCTCGTGGCTTGAAAGGATGAATAAGTTACCTGCCCAGTGGCCCCCATCTCACTAGATATTAGGCCCCTCAGGTTGGAAGAACCACAAATCACCTGGGATCATGCCCGTTCAACAGTGGCCCATGTAGAGAAAAGACTAGCTGGGGGGATTTCAAGTAGGTGAAAGGCCAGCAAGGAACACCCCCTCCAGGGTCAGGAAGGGAGAAGGGGCTCTCCACGGCCCTCATTTTGAGGTGGATTTTTCCCCCCAGGCTAGTAACTTGCTCTTAACACTGTAGTCAGATGTGCCGCTCCAAAAGACAGCTCGCTGGTGGGGGGTGATTGCTGGGAAATAGGATGGAATAGCCCGAGGAGCTGCTCTCTTCCTGGCTGAGCCCAAAGGCTGGCTGGGCCTCAGGGACAGCAGCCTCTGGCCTCGGTCCCTGGGGCCGTCCTTGTGCCGCGCTGTGCCCATGTCCTGGTGTGCCTGCTTCACTAGCGCCTGCTCAGAGCACTTATTTGTGTTGTTTCTCCTTTCTCCTCCTCTGCATCTTCCTCTGTCTGTCTGTCAGAATACGAACGGGCCACTTCTGGGGCCCTGTCACCTAGTAAGTATTCGTGTCACCCTGTGACTGCCTCCCTCCTCAACATCTGTGCCTGATTAGAGCGGGGTTCTCACGGGCCATTATATTTGCATTTTTGTGGAAGGTGGGGTGTGGAGCCACTTTGCCCATTCCCGTTGGGGGCAGAGGCAGCTTCTGTGTTTCCTTGGTGGCCAGGTCACCTGCCCTGGGCTCACCTGGAGGTGGGAAGTGCAGCTGGTGGATGGGGTGTGTTTGCACGTGGGTGACCGTGCCTCTGTCTTGCAGCATGGATAAAAATGGCACGATGACCATTGACTGGAATGAGTGGCGAGACTACCACCTTCTGCATCCCGTGGAGAACATCCCCGAGATCATCCTCTACTGGAAACATTCCACGGTGAGGCCCACGTCCCGGTCCTGAACACGCTTTCTCCCTCATCCCTTCACAGGGTCCCCTTCACCCAGCATCTGGCATCCCCATGCCAGGAGTGGGGCTGGGGGTTCCTGGCTACCTCCTCAATAGCAAGTCTGTCCCCTCCTCGGCTGGCCCAGCAGAGCTGTCACATGCTCCCTCCATTTCTCACTTGCCGGCCAACCTGAGTGGCCCAATGTTCCCTGGACACAAGGTCCCACTGCCAGGGTGTCCTCCTGTCCCCATATGCTACCTGTTCCTCACGGTCTATTTCAAATATCCCTTCCCCTTAATGCTTCCTGTTCACCCAAAGCCAGTGTGGTCCTTCCTGGGGGCTGGGGGCTACTCTATACAGACCACAGATGCAGAGCTGTTAGGAGTCCCCCACTACCCTATTTCTTGGTACTGTTTCTCTCTGTGGCAAAAGAGGATGTCCCCATGGCCACACACACGCTGCTCTTTCACCCCCATCAGCTGCGGTTCCACATTCAGAAATACAGGTCTATGTTGACCTCCCTGCCAGTGAGCCCCTTCATGTTTGGTTTGTCCCTTTCTACTGGTCCTTGCTGAGCCCCTGATGTGCTGAGCCCCAGTCTTATCCAGCCTGGACTGTCCACTCCGGGAGGGGAAGCCAGAGGTGCTCCTCCTCTGTCTCCTGCGGTGCCAGCCCGCAGCTTGTTGAGTGACATTAAGTGGACAGCCCCTGGGGTCTGAGCAGAGCTGGCTCTGACTGGCCTAGATGCCACCCAGAGAGAGACTGGCATGCAGGCAGCACAGCCATCATATTTGTTGAGGCCTTGCATAACATTCTGCCAGCATGATCTGGTTACACATCAGATTTCAGAAGGATTTTTACCCCTGACTTGATCCTTTCAGTACAGCCAGCCAGCGATCCTCCCTGAAATGCCTTGTAAGCTGTTCTTGCAGGAGCCACTGGCAGCATTTGAAAGGACTGTCCGAGTAGTTTTGGAACTGGCTTCTTCCAGCTGTGCTCACTCACCACCTATACCTGGGCCTCTCCAAGGCCAAAAAACAGAATTGAGAGCTTTTCCACTTCACAGAGTGGAGGGGAAGGGCCCGAGGCAGCTTCCTGCCCAGAATCCTCAGCCTTCGCCCGTGCACGTGGCCCCTTAGGATGGAGCCATCCTGCAGGGTGGAAGGTGGGCGATGATGCCAATCTGGCAGCCGCTTTGCTGTGAATACCTGAGGAGGGCTTGTTTTATCTTTACTGTCTTCTTCATAGATCTTTGATGTGGGTGAGAATCTGACAGTCCCTGATGAGTTCACAGTGGAGGAGCGGCAGACGGGGATGTGGTGGAGACACCTTGTGGCAGGAGGAGGGGCAGGGGCTGTATCCAGAACCTGCACAGCCCCCCTGGACAGACTCAAGGTGCTCATGCAGGTATGCAGAAGAGGCCCCAAACTGACGGATTTTCACCTTGGGCTTCACTGTTTGGTTGGTTTCCCTCTCTCATGGCTGGGGCCTTGCCTTGGGCCCAGTCTTTTCTAGCCCAGTAAATCAGATTGGAAAGATTGCTCAGACAATCTTGGGGAGAGTTCCATCCACCCTAGGTGACCTCATGCACATGGCTGAGCTAATTTTACCCGAGGCATTTAAGCCCCTTGCCTTGGGCCCAGTCTTTTCTAGCCCAGTAAATCAGATTGGAAAGATTGCTCAGACAAGGGGAGAGTTCCATCCACCCTAGGTGACCTCATGCACATGGCTGAGCTAATTTTACCCGAGGCATCACATTACAGGGGCTTAATGTGGACAGGTGAAGCCAGAGAGATGGGGGGTGTGGCAGGAGCTGATTTACTTAAGCAAATATTATGTGGGGCACCCTATGGTGGGTAGGGCAAGCAGATCCTCACCTGTCCCAGATGCCAGTGGAAATGGCACCATTACCTTGGCCTGGCACAGAAAGCCACATCTACAGGGCAGAGATAAGCTCAACTGATGTCAGGGGCAGAATTGCAACACTGACCTTCATGAGGATGCCCTGCTGGACTTTGATGTCCAGTCACCCTTGTTCCCTTGCTTTCTTAGAGCACTTTCTATGCCAGGAGTCCTGCTGAGAAAAGACTTCATCCCTCCCTTGCCCCTCTGCCCTACTGGGCCTCCCCGGTTTTGCACAGATGCATGTGAACTCCCTGTGTCTTACACGTGGTTCAGGGAGAAGAGCTCTGGGCCTGGACTCTGCCCCAGGAGTCACCCCAGCCCCTCCCTCCCAGCATGTGACTTTGGCAATTCTCTTTGCCTCCCAGTGCCTGCTTTCCTCCATGAAAGGAAGGCGCTTGGACAATGCCTCATCAGTCTGTTTTCTGAACAGAATTCCCAGGAATATTGAGATTAAAAGCAGTCCTTAGGTGAAATGCCTGGGATGTGCTTTAAAGTAACCCAGTAGAGGTGGGCCAGCAAGGACATAGATTGGCCGTTTTACCAAAGCTGAGGATGGGTTCATGGAGGCTCATGGCATAATTCTCTCTACTTTTGTATATGTTTGAAAATTTTCCATAATAAAATGCTCAATTTTTTAAAAATTTTATAAGTATTCTTGTAAAGGTGTTTAGTACACTGTTGGCACACAACAGATGCACAGTGAAATCTAATGGAACCCCAGTTAGCCACTTTTGGTGGTCACGGTGCTGGGTTAGTCTTCAAACTACAGAGAGGGAAGAGCCTTCCCGCCACCCTCCATCTGCTGGCCAGTGTGAAGAGGCCCTTTGCTGGACGGTGGCAGCCCTGGGGGCCCCTCCGGGCTGTATCTGACTGTTTTCCCCTCCTCAGGTCCATGCCTCCCGCAGCAACAACATGTGCATTGTTGGTGGATTCACACAGATGATTCGAGAGGGAGGGACCAAGTCACTCTGGCGGGGCAACGGCATCAATGTCCTCAAAATTGCCCCCGAGTCGGCCATCAAATTCATGGCGTATGAGCAGGTGAGGACCCGGCTCCCCAAAGAATCCCCAATCGGCAGCTGCTTCCCGAGCTTCCTCTAGACTGAGGTCCCTGAAACCTAGAGCCAGTCATTATACCCAAGGGACAGCAGGGGGAGGCAGGAGGCCTGGGTGTGACCCCGGCTCTTACACCAGTTCCATTTTAAGCTGGCTCCTTCCATTTGTGGGCAGAGTAAAATGTGCAGGGACACCAGGCCTCAACCGAAACCAACAGACTCCACAAGGAGGGGCGGGGCTGGAGCAGGTGCTCTGGGCTCTGGGTGTATCAGTTCGCTTTCTATTCCAGATCAAGCGTCTTGTTGGTAGCGACCAGGAGACTCTGAGGATTCACGAGAGGCTTGTGGCAGGGTCCTTGGCAGGGGCCATCGCCCAAAGCAGCATCTACCCGATGGAGGTGAGGCGCCACTTGGGTCCTGGGGGCTGGCCATGCACATGGTACTGGGGTGATGAGTGCACCGTGCTCACACTGCCCGGTGCTCCTGATCTGCAGGTTTTGAAGACCCGGATGGCCCTGCGGAAGACAGGCCAGTATTCGGGCATGCTGGACTGTGCCAGGAGGATCCTGGCCAGAGAGGGGGTGGCCGCCTTCTACAAAGGCTATGTCCCCAACATGCTGGGGATCATCCCCTATGCCGGCATCGACCTAGCTGTCTATGAGGTGAGGCCCCTGAGGGCTCAGGTCCCTGGGATGAGCAGGATAGATTCAGAAACCCTCTCCTCCCCACGCCCCCACCCATTTTCCCCCTCCCTGATGGACCACCAGGGATGGATAGAACAAGAACCAGCACCAGAGACTGCTTTTCCTTCCAGACTCATCTGTTTATTGCAAGGGTCTCCTGTCACCCTGCCTGCCCCTGGCAGTCCCCAGCACGGTTCCTGTGAGCCTGGCCCCCAGGTTCTGCACCCCCAGGCGCTCAGCAGGCAGATCCTCAGAGCATGATGATCCCCAGGGCTCACAGGCCCCCAGTAGACCCCAGACCACAGAAGTTTCCTGGGGGGAAGGTGGTGCCCTCCCCCACTGCTTATCCTATCCAGGAATCCCCAGTGACAGCAGAAACAAAGGGCAGGCTGGCCAAAAGGTCATCAAGACCCAAGCCAAGCAATCAGGTTACAGTGGCCTTGCAGATCCCATGTGACCAGGAACTGCCTCTGGTGTGGGTCCAGTAACTGCCCCCCTTTCCCCTAGTCTTCCTGCCTCACCAGCTCTTCCTGGCACTCACCCCCCACCCGTTCCCCCACCCAGACGCTCAAGAATGCCTGGCTGCAGCGCTATGCTGTGAACAGCGCAGACCCCGGCGTGTTTGTGCTCCTGGCCTGTGGCACCATATCCAGTACCTGTGGCCAGCTAGCCAGCTACCCCCTGGCCTTGGTCAGGACCCGGATGCAGGCACAAGGTAAGTCTGGTCCTGGGTCAGTCCCCAGGGGCCATCTCCTGGGCAGTTTGGGAGGTCGGGAGGTGCAGACAGAAGGCATCTGACTGTGGCCTCTCGTGCAGCCTCCATCGAGGGTGCTCCGGAGGTGACCATGAGCAGCCTCTTCAGACAGATCCTGCGGACCGAGGGGGCCTTCGGGCTGTATCGGGGGCTTGCCCCCAACTTCATGAAGGTGATCCCAGCCGTGAGCATCAGCTACGTGGTGTACGAGAACCTGAAGATCACCCTGGGCGTGCAGTCGCGGTGACGGGAGGGAGGGCAGCACCCCCCCCCCCCCCCCCCCCCCCCCCCCCCC